TAATTATGCGCTTAGTTTAATTTCTGTTTGGTGTTTGGACACATTTCATTGTTACTGGAAGGCTACAACCATCAATCAGTTGATAAACATTATGTAACAGCTAGTTCGATGATCAGTCCTACTTATTCATAACTTATTCATCAGGCTAGCTAAAAGTTTATATATATACAGTACCAGTCAAAAGTTTGGACAAACCTACTCATTCAAGGGTTTTTCTTTATTTTTTACATTTTTTTACATTGTAGAATAATAGTGAAGACATCAAAACTATGAAATAACACATATGGAATCATGTAGTCCAAAAAAGTGTTAAACAAATCAAAATATATTTAATATTTGAGATTCTTTAAATAGCCGCCCTTTGCCTTGATGACAGCTTTGCACACTCTTTACATTCTCTCAACCAGCTTCATGAGGTAGTCACCTGGAATCAATTTCAATTAACAGGTGTGCCTTGTTAAACGTTTATTTGTGGAATTTATTTCCTTCTTAATGCGTTTGAGACAATCAGTTGTGTTATGACAAGGTTGATTTATTTAGAATTCAAGGCACACTTAACCAGCATGGCTACCACAGCATTCTGCAGCTATACGCCATCCCATCTGGTTTGGGCTTAGTGGGACTATCATTTGTTTTTCAACAGGACAATGACCCAACACACCTCCAGGCTGTGTAAGGGCTATTTGACCAAGAAGGAGAGTGATGGAGTGCTGCATCAGATGACCTGGCCTCCACAATCCCCCAACCTCAACCACTTGAGATGGTTTGGGATGAGTCGGACGGCAGAGTGAAGGAAAAGCAGCCAACAAGTGCTCAGCATATGTGGGAAGTCCTTCAAGACTGTTGGAAAAACATTCCAGGTGAAGCTGGTTGAGAGAATGCAAAGAGTGTGCAAAGCTGTCATCAAGGCAAAGGGTGGCTGTTAGAAGAATCTCAAATATAAAATATATTTTGATTTGTTTAATGCTTTTTTGGTTACTACATCATTACCATATGTGTTATTTCATAGTTTTGATGTCTTCACTATCATTCTACAATGTAAAAAATAGTAAAAATTAAGAAAAACCCTTGAATGAGTAGGTGTGTCCAAACTTTTGACTGGTACAGTATATATATGGACTGTATGAAATGCATTAACTATCCCTTTACCTTCAAGGTACCAAGGATTTTGCCCTGTGTCAGTCTGTATTAGCGGAACATAAATGTCACACACACACGTGAAGTGCGGAGGCCGACACTATTTCACCCTTTAAATGAGTACATAAACAGAATGTTAGCTGAGAACGTGGGCCTCCGGGCAGACAGACTGTCATTAAGTAACTAGTTAGGAGAACGCTGTGCGATTCTCAGTGTCTGTTCTCAGTGTCTGCTCTTAGGAAAAACGTTTTATGCCTATTTCAAACATCAAACAAGAATGCTATACTACACACACCATTTCTATGAATGTGCACTGTCATTTAGCTGTACTGGTCTGGCTGAGGTATGAACTCCTCTGACAATGTTATCGTTGACAGTACAGCGATGCGTATCTTCTGCAGGGAGCTATTGTGAACAGGTCTGAACAGGTCTGAGAGAACCCGACTGTGACTATGACCTAAGCCTTCGTGATAATGATCCGGGCAAAAAAAACAGGCTGGGTGAACTCTGTCTACACTTTCAGTATGTATGTGTGCCTGTGCGTAGGTGCGCGATGTGTGTATGTATGCACAGTACATGGGTGACGTGTGTTTGTATTTGTATTTTCATTAATGCATTATGTGTGCACTCATTTGTGGATGGGAGTAGGATTGTACACAACACCTGTACCAACAGTTACCATGAGCAGCAGAGGTGCGTGCAGGTAGCACTAGCAGGAGGCTCCGGCATCCAAAGCTGATTGGGTAAGCTTAAATGGTATTCCCACCCCCAGAAGCTGATAAGTGAAACCAACAATAAGCTTGAAGACGATAGGCTGGTTGGTAACAGGAGAAAGCTGTCTCTCCCTCTAGCCATCTATCAGCTGCCTCTCTGTGGGCTAACGCCAGGTAGGAGACTAGAAAGACAGTCTGGGTGAGTGTGTGAGAGAGTCGGTTTACATAGTCAGTGCAAATACAGAAGAGTGGAGTAGAGCGGAGCTCAGTGGGAGTGTGTGCGTGTGCGAGACAGTTAACTACTCCAGACAATGAACATGAACCTGAAGCACCGGAAGTTATCCCTCGACAGCTCAGTGTGAGTATCAACCAATCAAACTTTTTAAAATAAGTCATTTATTATTATGCATTGCTATACATATTGTGTTTCTGTACAGTTCTAGACAGGTTCAGTTAAACTCCAGCTGTAGAAACCATCACCAGTGTTTCTGTTTACATTAGGAAGTTGGAATGTCCCTTAACTGAATCTTGGATTTTCTAACAGGATGTTACAGTATTGAGAACTGTACATTCCTTAAACAAACAGTATTACATACCACCTAGATTAGAACACACACATAGCGGGGTTGGGCCATTCCACCTGTATTTATTGCTGTTTCACTAATGGCTTAGTCTGAATGGAGGATTCACAAGAGTGGAGAAAGAGAAGGAAGGAAGGGAACTTGTTTGTTTTCATTCTCTAAAATGCATTGCAGCCATAGCCCTCAGGACCCTCGTCCAGCCCCAGAAATAACAGGCCGGTCTAGTCAGGAGCAGGTGAATCTGCTTTCTTTAGTGGATATCTATAGACTCAAGGCTTTGATACATAAAGATTGTTTTGAGGACTTTTCAATTATGTGATGTTTCTGTACATTTTATTTGGGCTTTCACATTAAAGTTTGACTTTTTGAACTGTAAATGTAATAGATTTCATTACAGTTAGGCCTACATTGTCCCGTAAGGAGTGGAACAATAATTAAGATGTTATGCTGGAATAGGATAAACAAAGCTATATATGTAGCACAGGAGGCTGCTGAGGGGAGGACAGCTCATAATAATGTCCGGAACGGCGCAAATGGAATGGCATTAAATACCTGGAAACCATGTGTTTGATGTATTTGTTACCATTCCACCAACTCCGCTCCAGTGATTAGAACGAGCCAGTTCTACCCAATTAAGGTGCCACCAACCTCCTGTGATACGTAGGATCTTAATTTAATCACCCTGTTGCATGAGAACTTTCCTGAAATGGAAATATTAAACTTGTAGTTTATTTTACGTTCAAAAGGCTTTTAATTTCCACTTTGAAATGTAATACTTACGAAAAATGTATCAACCGCTACAAAAATATCCATTGTCCACATAATAATAAACTTTCCTGTTGCTGCAGGACTATTTTCCTGATGTAGGAGACTGGCTCAAATTAAGATCCTACATCTGGACATTCATATTCAATGTCCATTGTTTGCTTTCTCCCAGCCTCAGGAGCTTAAACATAATACACGGAGTGTACAAAACATTATGAACTCCGCTCTTTCCATGACATAGACTGACCAGCTATGATCCCTTATTGATGTCACTTGTTAAATCCAACTCAATATTAGGAAGGTGTTCTTAATGTTTTGTTCACTCAGTGTATAACACCTACTTTGCATGTGACATTTTCTAATGATCTGAATTGCAAATGATAGCGAATCTTCTTTTGACCTGGATGCCACATCTTTTTAACCCTTAAAGACGCCCTCTAGCGATTTTTTAAAAACTTTTCCTGTTGAAAAGTGATGGTGATAAATACAGTAAAGTACACACACTAAAGGTGGAACAAGCTCCCTCACGACGCCAGGACAGCGGAGTCACTCACCACCTTCCGGAGACATTTGAAACCCCACCTCTTTAAGGAATACCTGGGATAGGATAAAGTGTTCCTTCTAACCCCCCCCCCCCCCCCCCCCCATTGTAAAGTGGTTATCCCACTGGCTATAGGGTGAACACACCAATTTGTGAGTCGCTCTGGCTAAGAGCGTCTGCTAAATGACGTTAATGTGCCCTTGAGCAAGGCACTTAACCCTAATTGCTCCTGTAAGTCGCTCTGGATAAAAGCGTCTGCTAAATGACTAAAATGTAAATGTAAATGTAATGTAAAATGTTAAAACAAATATGTTATGAACAAAATAGTGTTTTTTAGACACAACTTCAAGGAGTAGGGCATTCAAGGAGTTGGTCTGATGGGAAGTTGTGATGTCTTCTGCCTCCCCGTTGCCCGAGGAACAATTAGAGGAGCAATAGAGAGCAAAATAGTAAAGCCCCCCACCCCCCTACACTTGTGCTATGTCATGACTTACTTGGACCACCTATTGAGATGTGCCTTTTGTTAAGTAATTGAGGTGTTAAATGGGGGTGAAAAGGAGATTTGAGTGCCACTAAGGTGTTGTTGACTATCTTAATGACTACTAGCTAGAACTGCTCTGGCAACCATTCTTCCTTATGGTTGTCTGATGCTATCAAGTTAGCCGGAGCTGATGAGAATGTAAATAACAAGATATCTTCACATCTCTAACTAAGCAATAAGGCCCGAGAGGGTGTGGTATATGGCCAATATACCACAAACCCCCGAGGTGCCTTATTGCTATTATAAACTGGTTATCAACACAATTAGAGCAGTAAAAATAAATTATTTGTCATACCCGTGGTATACGGGTATGACAAATCAGCCAATCAGCATTCAGGGCTCGAACCACCCAGTTTATAATGACTTATATAACATGGTTGTGTAGGTTGCTTCCTGGAAAGTCAGGCTTGAATTGAAATGATTAGAATCGACATGATAACAATCAGGTGCATAGCTAAGGGTATAGTTTCGATTCTTGGTGCATACTTTTAAAAAATGTTTTAATTAATGTTACAGCATTTTTCACCAGCAGACAAAACATCTATGCCCATGAGTTTGAATCCACATATTCAATCCACAACTTTATTGTCCCACCAGGGGAAATTCTGCAAACCACCATAAGGTTTATTACAAAGTAAATATGTAAATATGACCTCTAAACAGAGTGTTTACAGAGCCAGGGGGCAACACTGTGTGACGGTTTAGTGTCCTGTTCCTCCAGGTCCCTGGAGAATGGTGGTGGAGGAGGTAGTCTGGGCCATGGGAGAGGCAGCCGCAGTAAGAAGAGCGGAGAGAAGACAAAGCGTCTAGAGGAGGCCCAGATGGAGATCCAGGAGCGGGGACACAGCCTGAACAGGAGCAACTCTCTCAGGTCAAAGGTTACTTCTGAAAACAGGTTCAATGACTAGAACGGGCCATGGACTGGGGGAAAGTACCAAAGCCTATGTAAGTCCATTGATCCGATCTCAATCACTCCCTATCCACAGGTCACAGACCATAGAGGAGGACAGCTTCCACCGGCCTGATGGCGCCATCGCCAAAAATGTAAGCGCACCTGAAATATACAGTACAACACCCTGGATGGGGGCTTTAGACAAGATGGCACTGACAGACACAGTTGCACTGTTTCTAGCTCCTAGCCAATACCAAGCATTTCACTGCACCTGCGATAACATCTGCAAATCTCTATAAGCGACCAATAAACTTTTATTTGATTTGAGGTCCTAGCACTCCTTCTCCACTATATGTTTGGGCTCTTGGTTCTGGCTCGGAAATGTCTCCTGATTGAATGGTTGATTGATTAATTAATTGGTTGATTGATTAACAGAGCGTTAGATCCTTTCCTCTCTCTTGTAGAGTTTTGTGAAATACAACAAAACCTTCCACAAACTCTTCCGAGACATTCCAACAGAGGAGAAAGTAACTCATGGTGAGTTGATCTCAGTACATAGTGAGTCTGTAACTTATTTATGGTTTCATCTTCGTCGTCCTGAGATTGTCTGGGCTGTGGATTCATGTCTCGATTATGGAGGCATGATGGAGTCATCACAATCAATACTTAATGCGTTGGGACATTCATTATAATTCCACAATATGTGCTTTGTGCTCCTTGCTAACAACTAAACTTAAGCACTCACTTTGCACAATATTTAAATGTGCCCTCAGCTTCTAAGAAGGGCATACAGAATATCATAGTGTATTCTGGGGATAAAGGGACATTTCAAGCAGAAACCCTCTCTGTGTGTCTCTCATTTGACTCTGTCCTCTGTCCTGGTTGTGTGTTTCAGCGTTCACCTGTGCCCTGCAGAAGGAGGTGTTGTATCATGGGAAGCTATTCGTGTCTGTCAACTACGTGTGTTTTTACTCCTCCGTACTCCTCAAAGACACCAAGGTAAGAGATTCACATATAGCAGAATAGAGTAGAGCAGAGTAAAATAGAGCAGAGAAGAGCAGAGTAGAGTAGAGTAGGGACCCTATTCAATCCGTATTGCGGAAGTTCAGCTTCACAGCGTGATTGAAATTTAAAGGCAACGTTCCCACGTCAGCGGACACTGCATAAGTCGGCTCAAGTAAACGCTGCATATGTCGGCTCAATCGGAAATTACTTTACATTTCTATCGCACAATCTGTAACGCTTCAGCGATACAGATTGAATAGAGCCATAGACTAGAGTAGACAACATACAGTAGGTAGAAGCAGATGCAGCGTTGTGGTCTGTGTTATGTGTTGTTGATGTTGTACCTGTGTCTTGTTGTAGGTTGTGGTCCAGGTGTCCAGCGTAAAGGAAGTTAAGAAGCAGAACTCAGCCCTGTCTATGCTCTCCATCCGCACTACTGATGGAAACAAGGTCAGAAACAAACCCACAGTGGCCCTGTTAGTATTGTTTGTGTCTGTGTCTGTGGTTGTGTCTGTGGTTGTGTCTGTGGTTGTGTCTGTAGTTGTGTCTGTGGTTGTGGCTGTGGCTGTGGCTGTGGTTGTGTCTGTAGTTGTGGCTGTGGTTGTGGCTGTGGTTGTGGTTATGTCTGTGGTTGTGGCTGTAGTTGTGGCTGTGGTTGTGGCTGTGGCTGTGATTGTGTCTGTGGTTGAGGCTGTGGTTGTGGCTGTGGCTGTGGCTGTGGATGTGTCTGTGGTTGTGTCTGTGGTTGTGGTTGTGTCTGTGGTTGTGTCCGTGGTTGTGTCTCTGGTTGTGGCTGTGGTTGTGGATGTGGTTGTGTCTGTGGGTGTGGGTGTGGTTGTGGATGTGGATGTGTCTCTGGTTGTGGCTGTGTCTGTGGTTGTGGCTGTGTTTTTTTTGTTTTTGTATTCATTTTTATTTCACCTTTATTTAACCAGGTAAGCCAGTTGAGAACAAGTTCTCATTTACAACTGCGACCTGGCCAAGATAAAGCAAAGCAGTGTGATAAAAACAACAACAACACAGAGTTACATATGGGGTAAACAAAACGTACAGTCAATAACACAATAGAACATTTATATACAGTGTGTGCAAATGTAGTAAGTTATGGAGGTGAGGCAATAAATAGGCCATAGTGCAAAATAATTACAATTTAGTATTAACACTGGAGTGATAAATGTGCAGAAGATGACGTGCAAATAGAGATACTGGGGTGCAAATGAGCAAAATAAATAACAATGTAAATAACAATATGGGGATGAAGTAGTTGGGTGGGCTAATTACAGATGGGCTGTGTACAGGTGCAGTGATCGGTAAGCTGCTCTGACAACTGATGCTTAAAGTTAGTGAGGGGGATAAGTGTCTCCAGCTTCAGAGATTTTTGCAGTTCGTTCCAGTCATTTGCAGCAGAAAACTGGAAGGAATGGCGGCCAAAGGAGGCGTTGGCTTTGGGGATGACCAGTGAGATATACAGTGGGGAAAAAAAGTATTTAGTCAGCCACCAATTGTGCAAGTTCTCCCACTTAAAAAGATGAGAGAGGCCTGTAATTTTCATCATAGGTACACGTCAACTATGACAGACAAATTGAGAAGAAAAAAATCCAGAATATCACATTGTAGGATTTTTTATGAATTTATTTGCAAATTATGGTGGAAAATAAGTATTTGGTCACCTACAAACAAGCAAGATTTCTGGCTCTCACAGACCTGTAACTTCTTCTTTAAGAGGCTCCTCTGTCCTCCACTCGTTACCTGTATTAATGGCACCTGTTTGAACTTGTTATCAGTATAAAAGACACCTGTCCACAACCTCAAACAGTCACACTCCAAACTCCACTATGGCCAAGACCAAAGAGCTGTCAAAGGACACCAGAAACAAAATTGTAGAACTGCACCAGGCTGGGAAGACTGAATCTGCAATAGGTAAGCAGCTTGGTTTGAAGAAATCAACTGTGGGAGCAATTATTAGGAAATGGAAGACATACAAGACCACTGATAATCTCCCTCGATCTGGGGCTCCACGCAAGATCTCACCCCGTGGGGTCAAAATGATCACAAGAACGGTGAGCAAAAATCCCAGAACCACACGGGGGGACCTAGTGAATGACCTGCAGAGAGCTGGGACCAAAGTAACAAAGCCTACCATCAGTAACACACTACGCCGCCAGGGACTCAAATCCTGCAGTGCGAGACGTGTCCCCCTGCTTAAGCCAGCACATGTCCAGGCCCGTCTGAAGTTTGCTAGAGTGCATTTGGATGATCCAGAAGAGGATTGGGAGAATGTCATATGGTCAGATGAAACCAAAATATAACTTTTTGGTAAAAACTCAACTCGTCGTGTTTGGAGGACAAAGAATGCTGAGTTGCATCCAAAGAACACCATACCTACTGTGAAGCATGGGGGTGGAAACATCATGCTTTGGGGCTGTTTTTCTGCAAAGGGACCAGGACGACTGATCCGTGTAAAGGAAAGAATGAATGGGGCCATGTATCGTGAGATTTTGAGTGAAAACCTCCTTCCATCAGCAAGGGCATTGAAGATGAAACGTGGCTGGGTCTTTCAGCATGACAATGATCCCAAACACACCGCCCGGGCAACGAAGGAGTGGCTTCGTAAGAAGCATTTCAAGGTCCTGGAGTGGCCTAGCTAATCTCCAGATCTCAACCCCATAGAAAATCTTTGGAGGGAGTTGAAAGTCCGTGTTGCCCAGCGACAGCCCCAAAACATCACTGCTCTAGAGGAGATCTGCATGGAGGAATGGGCCAAAATACCAGCAACAGTGTGTGAAAACCTTGTGAAGACTTACAGAAAACGTTTGACCTGTGTCATTGCCAACAAAGGGTATATAACAAAGTATTGAGAAACTTTTGTTATTGACCAAATACTTATTTTCCACCATAATTTGCAAATAAATTCATAAAAAATCCTACAATGTGATTTTCTGGATTTTGTCTGTCATAGTTGACGTGTACCTATGATGAAAATTACAGGCCTCTCTCATCTTTTTAAGTGGGAGAACTTGCACAATTGGTGGCTGACTAAATACTTTTTTCCCCCACTGTACCTGCTGGAGCGCATACTACGGGTGGGTGTTGCTTTGGTGACCAATGATCTAAGATAAGGCATGGGCAAGTTGCAGCGGAGTGTGCAGAGCTGGTGGCCGGGGTAGGGGTAGCCAGGTGGAAAGCATGGCCAGCCGTAGCAAAATGCTTATTGAAATTCTCGATTATCGTAGATTTATCGGTGGTGACAGTGTTTCCTAGCCTCAGGGCAGTGGGTAGCTGGGAGGAGGTGCTCTTATTCTCCATGGACTTTACAGTGGCCCAAAACCTTTTGGAGTTAGTGCTACAGGATGCAAATTTCTGTTTGAAAAAGCTAGCCTTTGCTTTCCTAACTGATTGTGTATATTGGTTCCTGACTTCCCTGAAAAGTTGCATATCGCGGGGGCTGTTCGATGCTAATGCAGTACGCCACAGGATGTTTTTATGCTGGTCAAGGGCAGTCAAGTCTGGGGTGAACCAGGGGCTATATCTGTTCTTAGTTCTGAATTTTTTGAATTGGGCATGCTTATTTAAGATGGAGAGGAAAGCACTTTTAAAGAACAACCAGGCATCCTCTACTGACGGAATGAGGTCAATATCCATCCAGGATACCCGGGCCAGGTCAATTAGAAAGGCCTGCTCGCTGAAGTGTTTTAGGGAGCGTTTGACAGTGATGAGGAGTGGTCGTTTGACTGCGGACCCATTACAGACGCAGGCAATGAGGCAGTGATCGCTGAGATCCTGGTTGAAGACAGCGGAGGTGTATTTAGAGGGTAAGTTAGTCTGGATGATGTCTATGAGGGTGCCCATGTTTACGGATTTAGGGTTGTACCTAAAGGTTCCTTGATAATTTGTGTGAGATTGAAGTCATCTAGTTTAGATTGTAGGACGGCCGGGGTGTTAAGCATATCCCAGTTTAGGTCACCAAGCAGTACGAACTCTGAGGATAGATGGGGGGCAAGCAATTCACATATGGTGTCCAGGGCACAACTGGGGGCTGAGGGGGGTCTGTAGTGAGAGACTTATTTCTGGAAAGGTGGATTTTTAGAAGTAGAAGCTCAAACTGTTTGGGTACAGACCTGGATAGTATGATAGAGCTCTGCAGGCTCTCTCTACAGTAGATTGCAACTCCACCCCCTTTGGCAGTTCTATCTAGACGGAAAATGTTGTAGTTTGGGATGGACATTTCTGAATTTTTGGTGGCCTTCCTAAGCCAAGACACTGCTAGAACCACAGCCACAACCACAACTACAGACACAATAGCGCCTGGGGGGTAGGAGTGATACTGGGGGAACAGGGCCTGGGTTAACCTCTACATCACCAGAGGAACAGAGGAGGAATAGAATAAGGATACGGCTAAAGGCTTTAAGAACTGGTCTTCTAGTGCGTTGGGTACAGAGAATAAAAGGGGCAGATTTCCGGGCGTTGTAGAATAGATTCAGGGCATTATGTACAGACAAGGATATGGAAGGATATGAGTACAGTGGAGGTACACCTAAGCATTGGGTAACTATGAAAGAGATAGTATCCCTGGAGGTACCGATTGAGCCGGTCTCAGCGTGTATGGGGGGTGGGACTCTCTGAGGCTGGTTGAGCGGAACCTGGGGCTCTACAGTGAAATTGTATAATAAGAACTAACCCAAACAGCAATAGGATAGGCATATTGACATGGGAGAGAGGCATAACGCAATCACAGGTGTTATTCGAGAGGGCTAAGACAACAACTGGTAATGGCGACGAAAGTTTGAGCTGAGGCTAAACAGATAAACAGGATGGGGTACCGTGTAAAGGATCAATCCAGCAGGCATTAGCTGTGTAGCTGAGTGATCATAAGGTCCAGTCAACAGCACTAAGTAAGTCCGGGAGCAGTTCATAGGCTGCTAAAGCACAGGCGAGCAGGAGGCACGGCTGTTGATTGCGTGTGCTAGCGGGCCGGGGCTAGCAGATGGATCTTCGTGGTCGTCGCAACTGGAAGCCTGTTGAAACCACATCAGACGATTACGTCGGCAGACCAGTCGTGATGGATCGGCGGGGCTCCGTGTCGAACCTAGGAGGTCCCGTCCGGTTGACAGAGAGGTAGATACCCGGGAGATGGGCCTGGCTCGAGGCTAGCTCAAGGCTAACTGGTACGTCGGGACAGTGGTGATTAGCCAAAAACAGCCATTTGGTTGCAGCTAGCTAGTTGCGATGGTCCGGTGTTAAGGTCCAGTGATTCAGTGATTCCGGCAGAAAATCCGATATGCTCTGGGTCGATAGCACGCTGTGCAGACTGGCCGATAATTGTCCAGGCTAGAGCTGGCTGGTAGGTAGTGCAGGCCACGGACAGTGGTGAAGACCGCTAACGGTGGCTAATAGCAAGTAGCTAAATAGCTGGCTAGCCATAGGTTCTTGATAAAAATAAAGAAATAATA